ACTTTGTGGTGAGGCATGCAGGACTATTGGGAGCTATTGCTACACTGAATTCCAGGAAGTTCAGGAGGTGAAGAGATGAGTACAGTCATCACCAGGCACTTATTCTGTGAATGACTAGACCAGGGCATGAAAAGTTTAACCAATATACTTAAATCACATAGTAGGTTGTGACAATATTCTTGGTGACGTAGGATTGAGTGTAGGAAATCTAGCACAGATGCTGAGAGAGTTTAAGTCTGGCTAAACCTCTGGGCCCAGTGCCTGGGTTCCACTGCTGTTGAGTCCAGCTTGGCCCAAGATGTTCTTGCCTGTCTTCTTTGGTTACTTATTCTTCTGTGGGATGAAGGTCCCTGGAGGATGAGATGAGTGATCTTAGAGCCCTGAACCCACTTTCATGCTGGCAGCAAGACTGCCTCCCCAGGTTCCAGAGCACATTTAGGACTGTGATTTGCTGGTTGCCATCTGGCCTCCAGTAAGACCAGTGCCCTTAGAGGATACCACAAAAACATATCAGAAGCACTGCTTCAGGAAATAAATAAGTATAAGAATGAAGATGGGAAAAGAGAAAGCGTTAAGATATATGTTAGAACATGAAATAATTACGACAGATAGCTATCCTGGTTTATTCTTTTTGAAAGTTTAGCTGAACGTTAAAACTGCAGTGATTTCTGATTTAAGCTCCTATGTGGATGAAAACATTTTCATGGATTTTTAACTTTAAAGAAAAAAATAGTTATTGAATTTATTTTCCTTATTAATTCTGTGTGATCTTGATCTCCGGTGGCCTCGACTTGCAGCAGCTTGAAGCAGGGTTTCCGTTCCCAGCCAAAGATTAAGATCAGGTCACAACAGTGAGAAAGTTGAATCCTAACCACTAAACCAGCAGTCAGTGACAAGGCCCTGGCCCTTCGGCTTTACAGAAAAGAATTCCCCACAAAGATCAAAAGTAGTGAAACAGATAAGGTGTTTACTAGGAAGAATGAGTTCTGTATGTGTGGATAGTCACTTGGCAAACTCAGAGCAAGTCTCACCCTCAGATAGTTTAAATCGCTTATATGGGGGAGTTCTCCTGAGTTTCCTTGGCAAATCATTTTTATTTGCCTGGTTCAGGGTCTGTATTTGGTATATCCCAGGGTCATCCTGTGTGAGCGCCTGCATCTCTCAACCAAGATGGATTCTGGCGAAGAAGCCTGTGGGTAGACTTAGCATCACCCTTCTTTGGACCTCCAGGGAGCTTGCTAGGTGGGAAGGCTTCCTTGACTTTGAGAATGAGAAATATGTGGTCTCTTACCTTTTATTTGGGAAGGGCCCAGCCTCCTCTCTTGATTGCCCTGCCATGGGTTTTGGAGTATCTGTCTAAATGGAATCTATTCAAATTGCTTTCCTCAGTGGTGGGGACAGGGATCTACCTCTTGCCTCAATGCAATTTCCATTCTGCTCACATTCTTCACAAATGAAGTCTAGATGGAAATAAAATAAAAGTAACTTTATATAATCTGACATGAAGGCAAGTCATTCGAGAGGGCAGCCAGGGTAAAAATAAGAAGTTAAGTCAAGCACAAAGTTTTGTGCCTACAATGGAGAACACAGGCAAACTAGTTCTTCAAGAGAGAGCGACCCACTTGGAGTTCACCCATGTAAGAAGTACTACAATTTAAAATCCAATTTCCCTTTTTTACAACTGCTTGAGCTGTGTAGGTATGAATCAGCTTTAGCTGAACTACACTGAATTTTCCTTTAGCATGGGGTGGGTAAGAGTAAATACAATTACAAAAATACCAAAATGACACACTTCCCTTCAAATTAACTTTAGAAATTAAAGATGTTATTTTTTTATAAAGCAATAGTATTTGTTGCTACAAAATATTGATGACACTGTGTTTATATTATTTTAAATTTCTGCACATATATTATCAAAAGAGCATATATTATCGATATATTGATTGAATATTATCAACAGTCACTGATTTCCAGCAACAACTGCTGCCAACCCCCTGCTCAGTCATTTCTCTTCTTGTGTAATTACTGCTTCACTGGAGTATAAATGATTTCTTTCATATTTTTTTTAATCCAATGAGACATTGCATGTTTTAAAGCAATTATTGTGAGTGCTATTTAGATTTTCTAAGCACTGGACAGTGATTTATCTTCTATGCTAATTACTCCCTGTGAAAATTCACCAAGAACAAGAGCTAAGACTCTCTGAAGGGCCTGAGTAGTTTGATTTTCATTGGCCCAGGGACTACTCACACTATAGTGATTTGGAGAGCATCTTTTCATCAGCTCAGGACATTTCACACATGAGGCCTCGTGAGTCCCAGTGATCTCACAAATCATCAGATAGTAGTGAAAGCAAGGCTGATGTTAAGTAAATTCTGTCTTCAGTTACCTGCCAGGTTACCCTTAGGATGTCTATGCATTTAGAAAGAATTTTTGAAATATAAATTTCACAGAGCATTCACCACCATTCTTGGTGCTTATCAGTTCTGGTGATTGCTGCTGCTTTCCTATTTGGAGCATAACAGTACCTGATTTTTCTGTACAGTTCCTATATGAGTACAGTGGTGTGGTAACTGTCTTTTGAAAATGTCGCCAAAGGTTATTACTGTCATATTTGCTTTTGTTAACAAACCTGTGTCACCCAATGTTCATATTTATATTGCTTTATAATGGTAGATTATAGAATCAAAAGGAAAGAAGATGAATTTATAAGTTAGTTTCTATCTTCTCCAAGTTATTAAGAAGTAACATTGCTTGCCATTTACTATTTGTAAAGTGAAATGTGCTTTACATGTCAGGAGTATCTCAAAACTGTTAGTCATTCTTTGATATAACATTTCATCATTTCTAAAATGGACATCTGGGGTTTTATTGTACCTTGTGAGACATACTTTCAAATAAATGTCAGGCTTTTAATCTTTATTTTTATGAATTATAAAGGACTTCCTTGGCGGTGAGCAGTGGGAGGACCAGAGCTCTGTCTCTCTGCTTGTTGTGCTCACCTCCAAAACACTTACGTGCCTACTTTCTGCTCACCCCTTTGGCTCCGTGCTGAGACACGGGAAGGGGTCTGTTAGTAAAAATGTGGCTCTGTCTACTCTGCATTCTTGCATGATGGTGCCGTCTCTCTGCCTTACTCTGCTTCACTGATGAATATACAGATGATGTTAGAGATGGGTTTCACCATATGAACTTCATACAATGCTGCAGAGAAATATTCCCCTAATCCCAAAACTGCCCTCTGAAATATTATTCATATTTTTAGAGAAATGAAATTCTGGCTTATAGGTGGCAAATGACTTGTCTGAGTTCATTTAGCTGTGAATGGCAACACAAGGCCTTACACTCAGGATTTCTGCTCCTTCCTCTGCATTACAACTGCCTTGACCTGTTATTAATTTATAGCAAGCTGTATTCACTTACGGGAATATGATTTTTGCAATCAGTTCAGTGCAGTTCAGTTCAGTCACTCAGTCGTGTCCGATTGTTTGTGACCCCATGAACTGCAGCACGCCAGGCCTCCCTGTTCATCTCTAACTGCCGCAGTCCACCCAAACACATGTCCATTGAGTCGGTGATGCCATCCAGCCATCTCATCCTCTGTCTTCCCCTTCTCCTCCTGCCCTCAATCTTTCCCAGCATCAGGATCTTTTCCAGTGAGTCAGCTCTTCGCATGAGGTAGCCAAAGTATTGGAGTTTCAGCTTCAGCATCAGTCCTTCCAATGAACCCCCAGGACTGATATCCTTTAGGATGGACTGGTTGGGTCTCCTTGCAGTCCAAGGGACTCTCAAGAGTCTTCTCCAACACCACAGTTCAAAAGCATCAATTCTTC